CAAGGTAGAGAATAAAGCTAGCTTGGTTTTGAAGGCTCTGACATTTGTCGATGATCCCCGACACTCTGTCATACAAGTCCTCTCCCTGCATTGACTGGTTGTTAGCATAATTAGCATGCTTAGTAGAAAAGTGACGGCTGATGTTGTATTCCTTTAAAACCGCAACGGTTTCTTGGCAAATAAGACATACAGCCTTTGACTGGACTTCAGTAAAAAAAATATTTAGTTGTCCATTCCTTATTGAAAACTCGTCACTCACTGTTGACTTTTCTTTTTTTTGGCCCACTCATTGTTGCAGATGGGCTCAGAGCATTAGCAGAGTAATAACTGAGAGTAGCCCTGGCTCCGCAAAATCAAGTCAATGTATCACCGCACCTAATGCGCCACCTGGTGGAACGCCAGGCATTACAGGACAAGGTCAAATGAATGCAGTCATAATTATGATATGATTTGATTTGGGCAATCCTATACCAGTCTTCGGCAGGCTGGATTAAAAGGACCAACGGACTGGATGTGGCCTGCGGGCCATAGTTTGCCCACCCCTGGTCTATACCATAAGGTCATAAACACAGTCCAGAGCATTTTTTAATGTCTAAAATGTATTTTCTTCAATTTTACACACATATTGTTACTACAGTGATTGTGTATTGGACTCGGAGCACTGCTAAAAAGGCAGGGGACCCAGAGTCCAACTCAATACTGTTCCTGAATTCGTCCTGTGTAGATGGAGCATTAAAGCTGCTGCTGCTGCTCAGCTAATGTGCTGCTCACTCTACACCTCCACAGTGTACCTGCATTGATTTTGTATTGGTTTGTGAATGCTGCCCAAAGGCATTCACTACTGCGCAAGTACTACTGTGAGTGGGCAGTCCTGTGTAGACAATGATGGCGGATTGCAACCGCTGCTAACATGTTACTTTTTCTACACTAGATAAAGCGTAATAGTACTTACTGTGGCCCTGACACTGGGCCATTTCTAGAAAAATGCTATTCAATTTGAAAAAGTGAAGTAATTTCAAGCCATCTGACAGAAGTCTGTCAGGTCTCAATTCATGAACACCAAGTCAGTCAAGCAAGTTTCATGTCCCCTGGTATGTAGAGTTCCTCATACTGCATACACTCAGTAACGCCGATAATAATTGTCATCTTTACCTTTTTATGACCTTCTCAATGGTGTGCATTAAATCCAATAGGAACAGTTCATGTGCAGCTTGCTTTAAATCTAAGCTGACTAATGATGAAGGTAATGAAAACAACATTGTTAGTGTTGTTGCTCAAGATAACAGTAGTTGATGTTGATGCTGATTAAGGTGAGTTTGCCAGAAAATAGTGGCATGTCTCATGCTATTCACTACTCAGACTTGAAACCCAAGCGCTTTTCTCTTGCGTGATATCCACTCCTGCCTGGAGCTGCAGTGAGTCCTGCGCTGCAGTTTGACAAGTTCTCGGCCTGACGTGAGGCCTAAATATTGCAATTAAGCACTTCTTCCACGTCTGGTTTTTAATAAATGTACTCACCAGACTGAAAACCTGTTTGAACTTGCAGAACAAAGTGACACTCACTACAATAACAAGATCACAGCAGGTTTGCCAGTGGAAGAAAGCAGAAATGAACTGTATATACTATGTTTCCTACAATGTTCAACAACAATGTTTTTAAATGTGTTTCCAACAATTCATGTGCTTTGTTCTTTTTTTAAGTGCTACAGGGATTATTCAGTGTTTAGTTGCATCTTGTATATGTCTTATCCTTATGACATTATTTCTTTTTTGCTTCCTTTCTGCCTACACATTCTATCAGAGTTGTCATGGTGGAAGTGGACAGACAGTGAAAGGAGGAAACAGTAGCGGTACAGCACCTACTGTGTATAAGACACACAGCAACAAACACACCAAACTGTGGTGTACTGTTTCATGGCCCCTCCTGAGCACACATTCCCTTGTACTCCCTTCTTTTTTACACAGTTTCCTCCTTCTACTCTGTGTGTTCCTCTCATATTCAAATGCCTCCTTATGTCTCAGTTTTCTATCTTGGTTTTCCCTTACTATATTGTGTTTCTCACTCTTCTTTCTCACCTCTCATTTGAGGTACTCGTGTTTCTGTCTGGAGCTTCTGTCTTCTCATTTCCAGTTTTATCACTCTTGTAGATAGTTTCAGTTGGTGTTGGGTTTCCTCCTTTGCTCAACTGTGAAGAAACAATGAGACAGGAAACTCTCCCCGTCTATCATTCCTCTTTTATTTTTTGTATGTCTTTCGGTAACTCCTATGGTGTGACAGCCTTTGCCGACAAGCCTGGTGTCGAGCCAGCATTATATATATATATATATAGGCAAGCTTTATTACAGCGTCTTCATCATGTCAAGTAAACTCAAATCTCTGTGTGTGTGTGAGCAGTGCTCATAGAGGAGGTGAAGCATTCCAGGGAGGACTTTCAGAAAATGAGAAAAGAGAAAGAGCACCTCTCCCAGCAGCTGATGTAAGTGTCTACAGTAGAAACACACACGCCCACACACACATATTTAAACACACACAGATGGAGATGCAGGTGTATCATGGTATTTGGAATATGCCGGGTGAAGAGTAGGTCACCGCAGGGCTTGGCTCTATATGTGTCATTTTCTCCAACCAATCAGAACTTTTTGAACAGCCCCACTGGCGTTGCCCAAACCAGGAAATGCTTATGTTCCACATACCAACCCTACTCAGCTGCATCAACAGAGGATTTGACATGTACATACTTACACTTACCTGCAAAAATTATGTAACAAGTGACATTCACATCAGCCCCATCTGTACTTTGTGTTCAGTCCTAGCTACAGCTGTCACATGAATTTGCTAAACTCTGACACTGTTTACCACTATGTGCAAAACATTCAACTAGGAACTTCTCATTTTGAGCAAGTGCTGAACAACAAACAGCGCTAAAGTGACAAACACTGATAGCAGCAGGTTGTTTCACTGTCACTAAAAAACATTGACTCTGTTAGTAACTTATTTTATAAACTGCTCTCTGTAGTAGGTGTCTGTGTTTTCTCAAGCACAGAAATGCTTGAGCCGGTCACTGCAGGTCAGGTATTATTGTCCAGAAATGCAAAATTGATTAAAAAAAATCTTCCACATTTGGTAATATGCTGACACTGGTATGGTTACTTTTTTAATGTTTGCATATGTTCCACCTTCTGAGTTACAGTGTTGCTATTAAGCAACAGTGAATGCTTTTAATCTTCTTTTCGTGACGTCATTTCTAATATATGAAAAATCACCAACTTCAGAAGGTACACACAGACACAGAAACACAAATATCCCCCTACACACAAAGGGAGTAGATGTTAAATACCGCTTCTTTCTGATAATCAGTGAATTAAAGGACTGCTTGACTTGACAGACCACAGATGAAGCACTCATTTATTCACTAATGTTTCCTCCCTCTACACCCTCCTCATCACATTTTTCTCTCTCCCATTTTTTTGTCATAAACTTTGTTTTTAAATTTAAAAGCCCTGCTCTGCTTTTCTCAATCACTCTTTTTCTAATCAGCTTCACCATGCTGTCAACTTCATTTATGGGAAAGACTATATCATGCAGTGTCTGTCGTGGCTTCTGATGAACTGTTGGATGAAGAGGGTAAAGAGTAAAAATTGATAACATTACTCTTAATCTGTATTGCAAAAAACTGAATGTTGCAAATATTTAGAGGTGGAGGAAGTATTTGAATCTTGTAGGTATTCTTAGCCAAATATATTACAAAACTAAAAGTAGTCAATATAGATTAATGGCCCCTAACCTGACCCGTGCCTGAGAGTGTGGACGTGTGCACCCGACGCAGACCTGACAAACTTACAGTATATAATGACTCACACCAATGGGTCCCGTCAGGCTCGGTTTTGTAAAATCTTATTTTGTAAAGTAACTATAGTTGTCAAATGTAGTAGAATAAATGTTAAAGAAAAGTTAAGTGAAAAATACTAGTAAAGTACAAGTATCTCAAATTAGCCTCAGTACTGAATAAATGTTCCAAATCACAATCCACCTCTGACATTATGTAACATACACAAGCCTCAAACAATATCTCTTGTTTTCCCATTCGTGGCAAACAGTCAGGTGAGGTCTCCACTGATCTGTCCTAATGGAGCGCTGTGAGATTGATGCTGATTGGTCACCTGTTCAAACACCCTTTTCCACAGCTGCTGTGTGCGTGTGTTCACCATGCACCTTATCAGCTCCAGAGCTTCCGAAACCTTTGATTCTTTCTCTTGAGTTTGTTTGTGTGCAAGAGGTGTTGCTACGACAACAGCCTGACCTTTGACCCCTGCCTCCATTGAACATCAGTGTTCCACACCTGTTGCATTTCTGTGGCTCCAGACTATTGCCTTGGAAACAGATGCATACATACATATTTCAGGGGCAGTCCGGGGACAGTGAGTGGATTCCTTCTGATCCTAGCATGCAGCCTGATCAGCATGCAAGAGAGACACTCAAGGGCAGCTTGTTTTGTCATGAGTATTTACACACACACACACACATGCATACACACAATTACACACTCTTCAGGACCTTTTAGCTTGCTTTAAACCTTGGTTGTGCCCCTGAATATAGGTAATGTGAAGGTGATGTCACACAGTGTTTGGGTAAATGCACCATGTTTGAAGAATCACGCTCATTATCAATCAGATAATGATAGATATATACACTACATACATCTAAAGGTAATTAAAAAATCTATGCCATAGAGCAACATACAGTACATATGCTTCAACTACATCAAAACATCCACTTTATTGTTCAGCTTGAGCATTGACAGGACAGAAACTGATTCATCTGCAGTGTTTGTGTTACCTGCCGACAGCTGCTAGCTACTGTTAGCTCCCGAACCGAGAGCTGAGATCAGTGTGCAGACTCCTTTTTTCATTCTATTGTTCTCATAGACAGGATCTCTGCTTATTTAAATTGTACTTGGACTGTCATAGTTTGTGAATACTGCTGTCTAAGGGCAGAGACACACCAAGCACCATGAGCAGAAAACGCCAGTACCATTTGCAGATTCTTATCAGACATATTCTCAATTAGAAGTAGCTATACCAGCAGCTGTTTTGAATGAGAGGTGCTTTGTTTATAGTTTATACGTCCACAGTCTAGTCTTTTTCTTTCCCTTTCTGAATGGTGAATACAGAGACTGCCACCTGCTGGTAAGGGGAGTTATTTCTGTCACGCAGGTTCAGAACGTACGTGCTAATCGTCCGTTGGTTGTAGTCTGTGCTGTCTATTCATGTGTAACTTTTTCAACCTGACTGGCCCAGACAAAGCCGACATGAGGCGATAGTCGGCCTTTGTTGGTCCTAGTTCTTTCATGTTGGCTTGGTGTCTCTGCCCGGATATGCTTGTATGATGATTCCCTTTTGTTATCTGGCTTACAACTCATACTGTTGGCAACTGCCCATCACCTGGTGTGGCCAGGTGATGGGCAGTTGCATTATAAAGTTAGGTCACACACCCCTTCCTCTAATGTCTGGATGACATGTATTTAAAGGTGTTGGGAAGCGCTTCCTGCTACGTTCTGATTTACAGGAGACGTTCCATCGTCCTTTCATCAGAGGATGAACACATTTATCGTCCAGCACAGACACGGACCAGGTTGAAAGTATGGATTAAAGAGAAGAGAGGGGAAGATGAAAGACAGGATGGATGCGCTGAGCAAGGGAGGAGAGATGAAAGAGTGGATGATGGAATGAGTGAAGGTCAAGAGAGAAAGAGCAAAGGACGTGATTGATGTGATACAGCTTGTTTTCATAGCACTGACTGCTCTGTGCATATCCGTGCATAGGTGTGCATGTACGCATTAGTGTGTTTTTGTGCATTGTGTGTTTGTGGCTGTGTGACTGTTAGCAGTGAAATACCTATTGATCTCCAGTGTATGCAAAAACCTTGTTTGCCACAAGATCTTACTCTGCCATTTGCCTCATATACACACACACACACACACACACACACACTTTTATAGCTCCTCTGTTTCTTTCAGATAAAATCAGTCACAGCCCTTCAGGAAAGAGGAAGTGTTTTTTCTTTCCTTTCTTTCTCAGATTCAAAAGAAATCTTACTCCTCTTGATTCTTTCTCTCTTTCTTTCTGGACCATGTGAGCGCATGCTGCACAAGAAATGGTATTTTCCTAAAACTCAGAGAGTTTTATCTCTCTTATGTGGTGGTTTGGTATTTTGGCTATATTGCCATACACCATAGAGTGAGGGGAGGCTCAGCGGGGTGCTACTGGTACAATGTTGGTGTCAAACACTTGTTTTCTTCACTTTCATTTGTGGTGGCACACATGTTTTGCTTGTGTGTTTCACTTTTACTTCTTTGAGCAGTATATAAATGATATTATATACTGCTAGGATGTTAGAGTGAAAAGTAACACTTGATTTGTATCGGCTTCTTTCATCTATGACAACTGATTAATTCTCTTTACAGCCAGCTGAAGGCTGCAGGTATGTGTTCCATGCGCAATTTGACTGACGCATGTTGTTGTGCTGTGATTACACGACAGATCCACTGTGGTTACGTTAATTAGCCGTTGTGCAACCATAAAACTTTTTCTCTCCTAAACACATCATTTTGGTTATTATTCTAGACAGTTTCTTAACTTACGCAGTACAAGTCATTACATGTGAGATTGTGACATCCTTGGGTCACACACACCAATTTAACTCATTTCATGGAAAATTGTAGTTCAAGCATTTTCTCCTTTTTACTCTGAAACCCCTCAGGAGTCAGCAACAAACACTGATAATGTATGATAATAGATTCTTCCTAATTTTACCATGTTTTTATGTTTACACTGAGTACACCACACATGCCGCATCCCAAAAGTGCTTTACTGCTCCTTCAGTGCACTCTGCACTTGACTCTATTTTAAACCCTGCACCTTACAAAAAAAAAACGCCACCTATTTCATTTGATCTCTCTTAGCTCCCCTTTCACTTCTGAGACAAAGTCAGGAACAGGAGACCAGAGGATAAAGAACAGTGGAAATAGCAGGTGGGAGTAACATATTAAGTGATCTCTGACCTTGCAGACAAAAAGGGGAGCAAGAAAGTGAGAGATAAAGGACAGACACAGGGGCCTGTAAAGTACAAACCGTATCCTGTAGCTAAATTTCCAGTAGCTGAGACAACATGGGAAGAAAAGGAGGTTAAAGAGAGAGAGGAAATGGGACGAAGATGTGTGATGAGAGGTACAAAGAGAGAGAGGATGGTGCTAGACAGCTGTGAGTGTGCTGCTGTTTAAATGTCTCTCTGTCTGTGGCTAACGTTTACATATGATGAAGGAACTTTCTGTTAATTGAAAAATATCTCCAAAAATTATGATCTGTGGCTTCCAGCATAATATTTCTTTTAACACTTTAAAGGAACAAAAATCAACCAGCCTACATTATATTATCATGCAGATAATATAATATAATGAATGATTACTAGAGTTACCAGGTCTGTTATTTTGTGAAATCCACTTTAATAAAATGTACAAATGATTGTAGATTGGCAGTGAAAACAGGCTGTCTGTGAGCTCACCCGTGTAAGCCCTCTTACACTGTATCCTCATTGCATGTGGCTGCAAGGTCACAGGGCTAGACAGCCATCTGCACACGCACACACACACACACACACACACACAAACACAAACACTTGAGCTGATCATGCCGCCAGAGAGGGGATTAGGCTGAAAAGCTGACAGGGTTTAGGAGGGTTAGGGTAAAGTCTGTGGGTGTGTTTGTGTGGGTGTGTTTGCGCAGAAGCCAGAAGTGCAACATATTGTCACGGCATGCAGAATTAGAATTAAAACTGATTTCCAGTTTACTTTCTCAAGAGCAAGGCAGCAGGTGCACATGGAAGAAGACATGATCTCAGTAACTCAACCACACACATGTACCTAATTTATTCACTTTCCATTTAACAACAAAAAAATCTAAATTGCTTATGCAAAGTTGTTCAGTTGTAAAATATCAAGTCACAGGATTGTATAAGCCAAATTAGTCTTGATATATAGGAAGTTCTCTTGAACATTTGCTGATCGCATCACTACATTTGGCTTATTCCACAAGTGTGGGAGTACACTGTTGTATGGATTTGGTATCTTGCTCAAATACTTTTCAGTGACATTTGAAATTGTAAAAACATACTCTGAGAACAAATATTACATTTCCCTCTGCCTGCATGTTAAATGTAGATACAGTTAATATGAATTACATTTTAGGGGAAGTACTACTTTGACTTATGCTACAGTAACTACGGTCATAAATTTTGTGAGTCAACAAATGGTGAAAGATGAGTTACAATGCCGTGCTCTTTATGTCTCCAGGGAGCAGAGGAGACAGAGTGAGGAGCAGCTGTCTCAGCTGCAAAGCTCAGAGAAGGAGCACAAGAACACAATACTCAGGTATACTGGCCTCTTCTCTTCTTTTTCTCTCCACTTCAGTCTTATGTTGTGATAAACTCCCATTGCTTCCCTTCTCAAACTTTCCCACAATCCCTGCACTTATCCTGCTCACTCTCCTCCAAATCATCCTGTTCCTGTGGTTCGTCTCTCTCCTCCGTCTCCTTCCTCTCAGACAGAGGTGGGGGTATTATTGTCAGCTGAGCACCACTCTTGGATCAGTTAAGGAGATCTTAGGCACTGAAAAGTGCCGGTGACACATCAGATAGTTTTGTGTAAGGCTGGCGCGACAGATTGAAGCACTTCTTAGCTGGCGTGGACTCGTGTTTCTTTGCGCACACATGCATCTGTTCACAAAGGCATGCACATGCTGTAGATATGCAAAGGCGCTGTGTCGCTTCTGTAGGAGTGCATCTTATGTGTACATGCACACCCAACCCACATGTGTGAACCCATAGACAGGCACATACACACGGAGCCTCTCATCTTTCTACGCAGGCATTAGATTTATGTGTGATGTGTATTTTTTCACATGGTGTCTTCTGGTATGCTTTTTCCAAGCCACTGTGTTCAATTACACTGATGATTTATTTCCCTTCTCACACAGCAGTCTCTGATCACACCCTCTGGCTCCTATACAGCTAAACATATTTGGGGGGGGGGTCTGACATTTTCTGCCATAGCAGAGTGAAAATGTAATGGGAGACAGCGGTTCTCCAAAGTGTCTAAGATTAGAGGCCATAGGCGTCAAAAGATAATGTTTCAGCAGAGAAATCAATAGTAGATGCTATCTAATAGCTGCTGCAGTTGGATGAGTTGTGAATCTGTGCGGTTTCACTTTGTTCTGAATTCATATGGTGACCTAAAACAGTCGAATGTCAGAACGCTGACCACGAACACTTCAGAGTACTGGCATGTTACTGATTGCCATTTTCATTCATTCATTCATTTTCTACCGCTTAGTCCCTGAACGGGGTCACGGGGGGGGAGCCAATCCCGGCCGGCAGTCGGGCGAAGGCGGGGTACACCCTGGACAGGTCGCCAATCCATCGCAGCTGATTGCCATTTCTACTGACAAACCCTCTTTTAAGAGAACAGTTGAGTGTCTTTTTTTTCTGTAGAGAACTTCAAATGGCACCGCTTAGTTGCTCTCTATCTATTTCTTTGATCCCTCCAAAAATACCTGTCTTCATTCATCTGTCTCATGATAGAGGAGGAAATCTAGGAAAAGAAGCACATACTGTATATTACAGTGGGGTCTGCAGGATTATATTTCATAGTAAGCACAAGAACTGCCTACAGCAGTGTAAATCTTGTTTTAGCGAGAAACCTTTCTCATTATAACAAGGTACTTTGCTCATTTTTATGAGATACTTTCACGTTAAACCATATTTTTTATGTTATTACAACACATTGTAATGTCTCGTTATAACGATATCCTGTAGGCTATTTTGTCATTATAACAACATACTATATTTTCTTGTAATAATGTGAGCCCCGCACAGCTTGAAGTAAGTGCAGCACACACATTGTCTTTGAGCAGCACCTCCATAGCTCATTCAGTTCAGCAGCCTCTTTCTCATCAACACCTCCCATACCAACTTTCCACACAGTGACCAACATTGCTTTTAGGAGGGGCGCTCCAGCCCGTCCTTGAGAACCACTGATCTGACACTTAAATCCATGCAGAAAATAACACATGACTGCAGGATTATGGCTGCAGGCGCCACTGGTATAGTACACAAAGGCCTACACTGACATAAAGTATAAGCACACACACACACACACACTAAGTGTTTATTATGGGTTTATGTGTGTTAAGACACTGAGTGAGAAGAGGATGAAGTAAGTAGTTCTTCTCATGTATGTACAAAATGTATGCATAACACAAAATGTATATTGTCACCAATGCTTGATGTGCCAAGGTTCACTGTCAGAACAACATTACAGTGATCTGTAGTCATTACCTGACTGTATGGAGAACATTACCTATATGATTTAGTTGAATAATAAGAAAAACAGAATGGGTATTTGAATTAAGGGTTTGGCCCAGTTATAGTGCGTTTGTGTGTGTGTCAACTGCCTTACTAGAATAAATGGCTTCTTATGTAACAGTCTTGCTCTGACACTTACACTTACTTGTCGACCTGTCAGTATAGAGTTACAGTGTGCCTGCAGGTGCGTCTGTGAGTGCATGCATACACATGCCCTGTATAGGTGTAGATTAAATGTCATTCCCTCTGGAACATTACAGTATGGGCAGTAATTATATGTGTTATTGCATCTTTTCAACAGATTAAAAGGGGAATTGGTGGAGACACGAGAGGAGTGGTTGTCATGCCAACGAAAGTGTGACACCATACAGGAGCAGCTGTTGCTGTGGCAACAGAGAGAGGAACAAATGAACCGGAAGTGTTGCACAGCTGAAGAGGAAGTGTACCGACTGGGAATAGCTCTGGGGAAGGTGCAGCAGGAAACGAGAGAACAGAGGAGAGAAAGGTTGTGATTGTGGTACTGATCTGCTCTGTTTACATTTATGTTCTTCTCTGATCAGGACACCTCACTATTCTATTCTGTTCTGTTCTTTTCTATTCACAGATACAGTATTTTACTCATCTGATTTTAATTCTTTTCTTAAAAAAATTAAGAAATGGATCTTAAACTTATTAATAGAATAGTCTGAAATTTTGGGAAGCATATTTATGTAAACATTGATTTGTAAATGACACAAATGAGACATAAGCAAAAACATGGTGCGGTCACAAAAATGCTTCCTGTTATGGAAAACAAAGTTGACCTTGGTGTACTGACACTTCTCAAGGCCAGTCAGAATCACATCTCATGTTGGCAGGATAATATCAGACACTGAACTGCAGTGTCAAAGTGGCTGCTTTGGGTTGTGCCGGCTATGGTTTGACTTAACAGTGAAGCCACAACCACAGAGTGACGGCTGTCTAAATCCCTGGTCAGGAAATCAACTGCTTTGTTCTAATGCCAAATATTTACAACCGTTTTGTGTTTGAGAGGACATGGAGTGAGTATAGGCAGGAATCCTGCATACAATAGGGTGCTTGTCAGTGCAAAACACAGGGCCTACATTCAGAGTGATGGTGCCTCTAATAGAGCGTTGGGTGCTGTGCCCAGTAGCTTATATAAGATGACTTACATCCCCAGCTCACTGCTCAGTAACCTTGAATTTAGGCTTGTTTGTCCAAGTCAGTACTTTATCTAGTGGGGGGTTTTTTCCCACCACATTGACTACATGTTTCTGGGTTTCAGTGTTTGCAGATGGCCTTGGATGAAGCATATTTATATTGTTTATTGTTTTTTTGGGGGGGTCCTTAACTATATTTTTCCTAAAATTTTGTTTAAATAACTCAAATATACAGTGGTGGAAGAAGTGCTTATATTCTTTACTTAAGTAAAAGTTGCAGTATCACAGTGTAAAAATATTAAAGCCAGAGTCAAAGTACTGCTTTCAAAATGTTACATAAGTGAATGTAAAATGTATTAGTATCTAAATATACTTAAAGTACAAGAAGTAAAAATACCTATTGTGAAATTTTATTGTTTTACATGTATATCATATTATTGAATTATAACATAGAAATTATAATGAACACACACACACACACACACACACACACACACACACACACAAAACCCTCCTCATATGTTTGTATACAAATACACAAATCTGTCTTCTGTGATAAGTTGCGCTCCCTTTATTGGTGTTCAGTGAACATTTGACAAACCAAAGAAAAAGAAAATCTGCGGTTGATCTTTCATATTGGTAAGGGTCATAGTTTTAATTTAATGCATTATAGTGACTTTGACTCAAGATTATACATTTGTATGAGAACCTGTTAGAACAAAACAAAACCCTCTTATGAAAGACATTGATGGAAAGGGGAGAAGGAGGATTTCCTATCTGTTACTTTCCAGGCCGGTCAACTTCATGCTAAAGGCCATAGGTTACACCACTGTCCCATAAATATATCTGATGTATACAAATTACAACCCAGCCATTTCTTTAGCAGTACACATAGTATGGATGGAGTATTCCCTATCTGTATTTTTTGGACTGGGTCTCTGTCTGAAGAGCAGTCTTACCTCACATCAAACAGCCAGAATGTTACAAGAAAAACACTTTTTCCCTTGACCTCTGACACCAGACAATAAAACTGCAATCCTCTCTCACACATCATCCAGTGGACTCTTCACCAGGACTGCATGTTGGGTTCACATTCTCGGACCAAGAGTCTCCACTGGTGACACACTTACAATGTTTATGGCTTCAGAGATGCAAGACAGAGATGATGGAACTATGTAATTAACTCCAGATTATGCCTGTCAAGCCAAGTGACCAGCTTATGACCCTGGGACACAGGACACTGCAGTCACGCTGACAGGACAATTCACCAATTTCCTCTGCAGCAGAGTTTATCGTCCAAGAAAGCATTACCAGGAGAGCACACAAAACACACACCCTTAACCAGTGCAATTAACGGAATGCCTCCCTCAGACCTCTAGCAGACCTGCCGTAATTAGCAAACAACCCAACAAAGACTCTTGACACACACAGACTGAGATACATTACAGTATCTTTATAATTTACATTCTTAAAGCCGTTGTTTTGTTTTTTCTTTTACAAGTGTAAAATATGCCAGTGAGTCATTTGTGACATTCGAAAGAGACTTTCAAATAACATTATTAAAATTGGGAAACTGTTAAGTAAAAAAGAGAGAAGGACATAAGCATTTTCTATGATGTTCATGTTTTCTGGTTAGCTATATGCCTTATGGTTAGCTATATTGACTGGAGTAGTTATTTATTGAGCAGCTGTATTTCCAATACACTGAGAACCCTGCACCGAAAAAAATTTGTACTATAGTGCAGGAGAGTCAAATAGAGGACACATTTATATATTTGTGTATATAGTATATCATATGAGCTCATGACACAGCACTGTAACCTTTGTCATGGAGTTGACCTCACATAGGAAATACTCCTTCCAGCATCTTACTTAAGAGTGTTTTGTTTTCTTTTTTCAGGATCTCAAACATGTTTATAACCCGGGGCAGATGTCTTTCCTGTATGCATGTGCACAGTATATGTGTGTTCTCCAGGGGGAAATATTTCATTTATCCATCTGCTCTCATTATTTAAATAAATTTCAATGGCTTGGTGGGACACAAAGAGAGACACCCAAACCTGTTTTTTCCTGTGGCATTAATGTGGAAACTGAGTTCAGTTGTTGGAGGGCACGTTGCCCTGTGCCAACCCATCAGTTGCATACTTTAACAAAAGCATGCATCATTTTTCTGCCCTTAAGGACCTGTTTACGCAATACCATTGTAACTGTGGTAAACAGTTTCATAGAGTTAAAAATATTTGATACAACAGATATACTGATGTAAGATGTCTGCAGGTTAATATGGCCTTTAAAATAGTTTATCTCCAGTAGGAGAATGTGGGAAGAGAAAATATATCTTTATTCCCCCTTCATGCCCATGTAATGTTTATGCCTGTTTTCTGACACTGTGCATCTTTTTAAAGGATAAGGCTGGTCATTTTCTATATTAATAGTATTTTCAGTAATCTCCATAGAGAGACTAAAACCAACAATGTATTGCCTCTACTCATAGTTAATGTCTGTCAGCTGTCAGTCCTGGATCAGCTTGTTCCTCTCTGCAGTAGGTCTCATGTGTTGTTCACAAATTGTTAAAAACACATTAGTGAAACACATCACTGCACTGGGAGACATGTTCTCTTTTTTTTAAATCCCAGACCCAACTATGCTGACCCAAAGGCTCCGGGTGGCCATAATTTCCTGAAAGTAGCAGAAGTCAGTCAACTGCACAAGCTCTCTGCATTGTTTACACATTCCACTACCTCCTCACACTCAGGTCTGGGGTTTGCTAATGAGCACATATATCATCTAGTGCAGATGTGTGTTTCACTGATGTTTTTAATCATTTTTGAGCAACAGTGGAAGTCTATGGCACAAATTTGTAAGGTGATCCAGGACTGACACACTGAGACATTACCGTAATGAGGCAATTCATTGTCTCTGTATGGGGAGTGTTGAAAATACTGTTAATATAGAAAATGACTAGCCTTATCTTTTAAATTAGCTTGTTTAGAATGAGTAAAATTAATGAATTAATTCAGGTTTTATGCTGATGTTAGATGATAATCCAGATTCACACTAAACTGTCAACCAGCATAGTAAATATAGTACAATAAAGTATAACAATAAACATCATAAATTATTTTAGATTAAAAATGACCATAGCAAAATACAGTGAGCAAGTAAAACAACAACTAATATAATAATTTATTCAGCACTATAAACAGACAGTAATTAGTAAAATCTATAGTCTTTCAGAACTGATTATTGTAAGATGAAAGGCATTTGTATGATAACTACATTTTGGAAGCTACGTGTGTGGTGATCTGTATTATTTTGATGAAGCAGCTGTATGATACCTTAGTCAAAACTAACCTAAATTAAGGCCAATTACTGCTACGTAGAAAGGTCTCCCAGCTAGAGTAACAAGGATCATTTCTGCCGTTGTCTATTGGTTGACTAAGTCCTGCGGCTCTCCTAATGTGAAACACTGCACATGTTGATGGAAACCAGCTGAGACGTGACAATGAAAAGCTTAGTAACCAGCAGACAGTAGTTTCCCCAGGCCAGGGTAGGACTGATGGGCAGTGGGATTGTGGAATGGAAAGACAGATGTAAAGGGATGAAAGAGGGAGCAGAGGGAGGCAGGGGGAGAGTAGAGCGAAGCATGAAAAGTCACAGGGAGGCAAGGAAGGAAGAAGAAGGAGACTTGGAGAGAGGGTGGGAGGCAGGAACAGTTACAGGGAGGAGGGATGGAGATCGTGACTGTAGTTACAGTGGTTACTTCACACACTGTCTGGCTCTTGCATGCACACAGCCTGGGTCGCACACGATCTGCGCTCACACTCACACACGCAAAACATGACAGCTTGCTTTTGATTCAGTATAACTGACAAAGTTTAAAACAGAGTGATAAAGGATAAGAGGAGAGAGAGAGGTAAGAAAAAAGTGCCTTAAAGTGGAAGGAGTGAAAGATTTAAAAGTCAAGAGAGGTGAGGAGCATCTGTGCGGTTCCTCATCCATCTGTTCAATGTGAGAGGACTTGTTTCAAGTGGTTTTGAGCCACAGAGGAATGTTTTTGGGACAGAAATTACGATCTCCAACTCTATATTCTACATATCCCCTCATACAGAGAAGTGGTTTAATGCTTTAAGCTTCACTCAGATAGGCTAAGAAAATAATTTAAAAGATAAATGTCAGCAACACATCTATAAAATACTTGAATCAGCTATGTTTACTGTTGACTTGCAGATTTCTTCTCTCTTCTATTTTTGTTCTCTCAAATTTTCTTTCCATTTTGCAGAGTTAGGTCCCTAAAAACAGCATAGAGGATGTATGAGATGATGTCAGTGGAGATTCCTGTTAACTGTTGTTCTACATTGTTGATTCATACCACTTTAACGTCGTCCTTGAGCTTCACTGGAAAAAAATTGGACATCATTTGGAGTGGATTCAGCCTGCTTTGTCTGCATGTGCACACAAAGATTGTATCAGCATAAAGTGGAAAAAAGGAATGGGCCTTTTGATGAGGTTGCAGTACACACACACACACACAACACAACACACATGCCTGTCCTTAAAAGCAGCCTGGCGTGTGAGCGAACGAGAGAGTACCCCTTAGATTTCCCCCATCGTTCCTCCCTGTAATCCCCCCAGACCTCCTCCTGAGCGCTGAATTTGCACGCCCTCACTCCCTGGGGAGGGGAAGGGGGGGTCGCACACACAAGTTCAGTGTTGGTTTTAAAACCTCTGGTACAATACTTTTGCAGGGGTCTACTATTCTGATAATTACAGAACCAGAATTATACACTATCTGACAGTGGGACAAACACACACAACACTCAAACATACTCGCACACTGACACACACATCCACAAACACTGTATGCCTCAGCAGTTTGTTACATGTTAAAAAGGCTTCCGCTTTATAAAACTGTTAAATCCTCACTTTTAGGGGTTTTTCACCAGCTCAGACTTAACTGTAAAGCCCCTAGAGAGTCAGCGTCGTGAACACAAAACTAGACAGAAATGTACATTATGATAGTCCTGTGTAGGTGTTTGTGGGTTAGGACTTAGTTTTAGGGCTAAGGGTAGGATTAGATTTAGATTAGTTTAAGGGTTGGGGTTATAAATTTAGTTGTGAGGGTTAATGGTAGGGTAAGGATCTAAGGAATGAACTGTGTCAATGAATGTCCTCATAAAGAAAGCTGTACAAATGTACGTGTGTGTATGTTGAGTAGGCTGATGTGATTAGCCAGAGCCAGTGGAGTGAATAATATTGTGTCTGCCCCGACTGTGAAGAGATGGAATGTAACTGCTGCTCTTTATTATATTCTAGATCATCCACCCCACTATCAGCAGAGTCAAGTGTGCACACTTGTACACACCAGCTCACAGAGACATACTGTACATGTTACTTCGCACTCATCCAAAAATGAACCTACTTACACACAAAAGACAAGACGCAATATGCAAGGCCCCGGTTTTTGAATATTGTAGTTTGCAGTTTACCAATTTATGTCTTTTTTGGGGGGGGTGGGTGTCGATGAGTACTTTTAGCAGTATCCACGTTGCTGCTTAGATCCTATAAGAGAACCTACAAGGAACTGTTTTCTGTCAGATCTCACTGTATCTCACTGTTTAAACAATGGTAGCTGCTCACCTTGTCTCAGGCTGGACTTAGGTTTATGCTGATTCACATCTTATCAACTAGAGCAGCTGCTGAAATGTCATATATTTGAACAGAAGATCAACAAATCTATAAAATCTACCACAGATTTCTTTCTTTCTTTCTTCTACCTCATCCCCATCTCTCTTCCCCAGGTGACTGTTGTGAGTTTTTTTGTTAAATAGTCTTCATGCAACCCGACTTGCCAAGAGCATCAGAAAAGAAGTGTGTGAAAATATTATCAGAGCTTTTTGGATTGTGACAGGTATAGATGTGATGCTGGCTTGCTTATCTATTCAAATGCATAAAGTGCTGCACTGTTAAAACTAGTTCATGCACTGCCGTGTCTGTGTGTGCTTGAATGGCCAGCTGTGTGAGGACTGGTTTGAATTTTATAGCGTGGAAGTGAGCACACTTTGGCTGGTCCACACTTGCTTACACCCCTTCAAAGGGCCGTTTGAGGGTTAACACTAGGCTTTAGGGTTCAGGTTTGAATTATGCATGATTTTTTTATTACAAAACATTTGAATGAATGAATGCTTTTATGCCTTTAGTGTTCATATGCCTGTTTACAGGGAGATGCTGATAGAGTCCCATGGCAGAGCCTTGAGCAAGGTGGAAGAAGACTCCAGACAGCAAATGGCCTCAAAGGTAATTCTTTGCCTATATTGCACATATTGGTAAACCCTATTACTACTGATTTGACAGTAACCTCAGCAATAACAATAATAACAAACAAAATCAGTAGGGATACTCTAAACCATTTTGTAGGGTTGGGATCTGGCTAATCTTGAAATGTTATTTTCAGGTATTCTGCATTCTCTACATATAGTCCGGTCCATTCCAAATGGTACATTAGCTTCTTTTGTAAAGCTGGAACCACATAGCATCATTAGCCAGTTAGCAGCTATCTATCATATTTCATTTGCCTGCTAATTTTAATTTAGTCCAACATTGTATGAGTATATTCAAAGTATAATGACATAAATACTAGCCCAGACTCTTGTCATCAGACTGGGATGGAGGGAATTTGGTGCAAAGAAGCACGCTTATAACTAACTATAACATTTGCCAGTGTATTGTTTTAATTACGAATGTATCATGAACTCAAACAAATCAAAATATTACTCATAAGCTTATAGTCTCAGTTTACATGTAGGACAGCATCCAAACTACAGTCACAGTTCAGAGGAGTTTAGTGGGGAGGATCCTGACACACACAATGTGGATTAGATTATGAGGCTCCAAGACCACCGGTCTGTTTGACACCAGATAAACTAAATATACAAACACTCTCTCTCATACACACACACACACACACACACACACACACACACACAGGAAATCTGTCTTTTATTAGTCAAACAGTGTAGTACTGTCTCTTGCACTGTCTGCCTGTCTGGCGGCAAGCCACTGAGGTTTAGCTGAATGTCATAACAAAGAGGACATTTTGCCCAAAATAAATAAATAAATGAAGAAACCAAGAAAGCAGCATTAATTGTTAACTGTTGTCTCCTCTTTTGTTTCTGTCATATTTGTAACTTTAAAAAAAATTAATAATAGTATAAGAATGGCATTGTTTCTGAATCAAACAGAATTTCCAAAGTGGTAAAACTATACCATGACCTGGATGACAGAGAACTTCCACAGACATATTATCAAACAGAATCAGTTGAATAAAAGAATAGAACTGAGCAAAATAGAAAAGAATCTTTAACCGTTAAAACCGGAACCACAGATTAACCGAGTCTCTGTAACAGTCATGACACTCTTAGCATAAAAATGGTAACACATGGTAAATGGACTGTATTCATATAGTGCATTTTTTACAGTGTTTTGCACTGGCCAAAGCGCTTTACAGGGAAATCATACACCATTCACACACACATTCACACACCGATGACGACAAGGCTGCCACACAACGGCGCTAGTCAAGCCACCGGGAGCAATTCAGGGTTCAGTGCTATGCTCAGGGACACTTAGGCATGCGGGGAGACCGGGAGTCAAACCACCAACTTGCTGGTCAGAAGATGACTTGCCCTACCTCGTGAGCCACAGCCACCCCATGGAAGCAAAAAGGAGATTTTCATATCGTGAACTAGAGCGAGAAGAGATCATATTAAAATACATTGATGGTTGATTGTTTTTTTTATGCATACTGTAATGTTGAATGAAAGGAATAAGACTGCTGTGACTACAAGCATTTTCCATTGTTGTACCTTTAGTAACTTACTTCTTTTTTTTATTAATGTCTTCTCTTCTTTTAAAATGAGGGTTAAAAGTCTTTCAACTTCAGTTCTATTTGGGCACTGTCTTTTACGTGACATGTAATTGATCTTAGCCACTGACCCAGTTCTGCTGCAAAAACACATTTAACCTCATAAACGACATAACAGAAACCCACAGTGTCCGCAAGCAAGTTTGGTTACAGTGATCAAAGAGAAACTGTAGGTTTACATTGCTTTATTATTGTATGTTTGGCTTATTCTATTCTATTTGCTCACTCAAAAAGTGTCAAACATAATGGATATAAAAACGTCGCCTGCAGTACATGCCATGGGACACACTAAAACATACTGCACACACTGTATAAACTTGCTAATGTAGACATTATGACAATTTCCATGCACACGGTACCATGACCATACAGGTTATTGGTCCATCCAGGCTTCCTGAACTAAAATGGGCTTATACCTTTAGAAAGGAAGCGGTTAGTCTGGTGCACTTTTTAAATACAAATAACAGCTGTGTACATAACACACATTCGCACACTTCCACACACAAACGGATGTACACACACCAACCATCCATGCTGTTCACACGTAGCGAAGGGGAAGTGGTCTTTTCGTATTTGATTCATCACACGCAATCTTAGTCTCATACACTGTCTCAGACCACAAGCATAATACACACGCACACACAGGCTCCGTCTTCACACGCCAGTCTGTAGTTTTTTTTCTCAGACACCCACATCCACTGTTTTGATTTTTTTCACTCTTGCACGCATAAATGCACATTCAGAGATAAACACACAAACATTCACAGCTACAATGATCCCAACCCATGGCACGGATGTTCAGTTTGTCTGACCATTAGTGCTGCTGGAAAGAAAACAAGGTGGCCTTGACTAAAGCTTGACTAAAAATATGTCACACGCAACTTCAACCCCACTCCTATAAGAACCAAAGCAGGTGTTTTATGTCCCAGCAATTCAGTTGTATGATAACAAGGCCAGTCAAAGTGTTGTCAGTGTCACACCGTGTGACAGAGATTCACTTAACCAAAACCACTTCACCAAAAAAAAATATGACAAAGGTGAAAGCATTGTTTCTATTTGGAGCTCACACCACCAATGGCATGCCAGTAACACGGCATGGAACAGAAACACATTTGTCAAAAGTGCCTTGTAGAGGTTAGAGACTGTGGGCAGGACAGCATTTCTTCTGAGATTAAATATGTTTACAGAAGCAGTGATGAAACAATGCCAGAAACATTCACTGGCAGCTACGAAACCTTTAAAAGGCTCTTGTTAGGCCCATGTTCAGATTCTTTGAACATTTTGTACTCACATTTGAAACACCACTGTCTCCTTATGTCTGTCTCAGCACTTCTTGTTACACAAAGCTTGACCTTCCTCTTTCCTGTTTATCTCAGGAAGAAATCTGCACTCAACAGTCTATTTAAAGACTGAATTAGAGATAGGCCTTAGGCTGCTGGCTAGATTGAGCTTCTACTTGAAGTTTTATTAATGCATTATACTATTTATACTGTACTGTATATATACAATCTTTAATTCTGTAGTTGGCTGCCGCCCTGGAAGAGCAGAGAACCCAGAATGCACTGCACCTGAGGGAGCAGATGGTGGAGTGTCGCCGTGAGGTGGAGCTGGAGCTGATGATTGACAGAGAGAAGAACCAGCTGCTTCTTTTACAATACCAGCGTGGCAGCACTCGGCTTCAGCAGAAGGTGTGTAAATGTTAAGTTGAAAATGACCAGTGAACACATCACATTACAAAACATGGCAGTGAAATACTGTATGTGATATTCAGCATCAACCTTATCAAGCTTCTTTTTGTATTTCCTCTGTTCACTGCTGTCCCGCTTTCCTATCCCATCTCCTTTAAAAAAGGAGAATCAGATAGATGTATTTGAAGTTGCAGAGAACTGGACAGAACATGTGCTTCTCATCTCTCTCCTTTTTCTATCTTCCCGTGGCTGCTTCGCTTCCCTGTGTGCCTATCTTTCTGATTTGTCTCATTTCTTTCTGACTCTTTTGGGAGCTTACAACCAGAAGTTCCCACTTTGTGTCTGCGTGCAGTGTTGTAACGCTTGTCTGATCAATCTGTATTTGTGTTTGTTTTGTTTGCTTATGATGTATGTGTGTGATTAATTCCTTCACATTCCTTCTGCATCATCGGAACCACCCTTGTGTACACACACTCTGCAGACTACTTACATACTCACGTACACATTCAGCATGTAATGTCACTGCAGTTAGTCTCTACGTGTGGTGAGTGGATAATGAAGGAAGAAGGAGTGAGAGCAAGAGAGCGCTGTGTCAGACTTTACACCCAGACAGTCAGGGTGAGACAACAGGAAACAAATACAGCCTTATGCAAATGCAGGTGTACAGGATTCCAACTGTTGCCCACACCCTAAAATTTATATCCGCCCACAGTGTAGTCATTTAGTTTTAGTAATAACAAAAACACCAGGATGTTTCAACAGACTTAAGATTTCTAATATGACAGTTTCCCTATGTAGCAGAACAGAATTTCAGCTCGCTTTGTCCGCCACTGCAGATTCACCTTACAACCACGTCCTGCACAAAATCGAGACGAGCTGACAAAAAATTCATTGCCCCAACACATGACATAGAACTTGTTGAAACCCGGTAACATTTATGTTATCTTGAGCTCTCTGTAATCTTCACAACACATTTGCATGAGTGTCATTTCTTGTGATATCTGAGATGTTGCATGTGACAGTGTGATGAAAGAAATTTATGAATTAATGATGAACAGACTCACAAAGAACAACTTAGAGCCCTCCTGCTCAAATTAAACTGTGTAAATAATTGTTTCCCTTGTATCTTCTTCTCCAGCTGGAGGAAAGAGAGCAGGAATTGAAAGGGCTGCAGGAGGAGCTGCAGCAGGAGAGGAGGAACAGGGAAGAGGAGAGGAGGAGGAGAAAGGAGGAGATGCTCCAAGAGCAGCAGGAGGCACTACAGCTGAGCCAAGCTAAAGCTGAACTACAGCTGATGACTGAGAGGAATGCAGAATTACAAGAAGAGGTGTGTGTCATTGTCTGTTCATGTGTGTTACTAATATAGTACTTCTTCATTGTGCGGTGTTCAATTGTTCTCATAGGAAAAAGAAAGACAGAAAAAGTCTTCACTGTTGTACGGGTGTGTCTCTTTGCCAGCGCTATTCAAATGGAGCTGAATCAAATTTAGTGAATGTGTGTGTGTGTGTGTGGTCGCAGCAAAAGGAAGTGAGTGAGAGGGAGAGGGAGAAGAAGACAGAGTTCATATGTGCTTTGGCAGCAGAGTGTGTGGTGATGGATTTCTATGCCAACACCATCCAAATGGAGCTGAATGAAATAGTGAAACAAGAAAGTGGAAAGAGGCAGGCAGTGTATAGGGGAAGCAGGATGGGACATACATATAAAGAGGCTGAAGGAAGGAAGCAGTGCGAGAGTTGCATCTGTGTGTGTGAATAAAAGACAATGATGGAGCAAATTTAGGAAGAGCAACAAAGACGGGACAGGAAGGGGGAGCATCCTAAAGTGACTTTGATAGACATTGTGTGTGACTATGTATGTTTCTGTCTTTGCATGTGTGTGTGTTAGCACATGGGGCACCTGTCTTGATGGACTCTGTGGCTGCAGTCATGACACATCTCCACTATCTGACCACAATCACACACACAGAGTCATACACAATCTGATACAAACAAATATCCTTATTGCTTGATTTATAACAAAGCCAGTCAATTAAAATATGCCCAGTTCATCCCAGGTGTAATTCAGCTCTCATCCCAAATTCTCACATCGTCCCTGATCCTATTTTCATCAGCCCCAGGACGAAGGGACATCCTTAAAATCAAGCCCTGATCCTGCTTAAAAGTTAAACACAACACCAATGCAGCAAGATTTGCTTTGTGTGACAGTTCTTTCTGTTTTTTCCTGTTAGGGAAAATGGTTCAATTTCATATGAAATCTTAAAAAAGATTATAGATGATTCTTTAATGCACAAGTCAGTCAGTATCACAGAAAAGGCATCAGCTGCACTGAGTCAAGTTATTGCCTCCTGTCCTCTTCTCATCACTCCTCTCTACCTCCTCCCTCTCTCATCAGCTCCCCTTTGTAGTACTGCAGTCTGACAGCCTTCTAACAGCCTTCCCTTTGTGTCCATCTTCTCTCTTTAAACTCCTCCCTCTCCAAGTGTCTGTCCAGAGAGGTTCCGCCAGTTCAAGGTGCCCTGATGCCAATTTCACAGATGACATGCTCCTTTGTGTCATTCATGGACCTTCTGCATAACATCCCCCTGCTTTCTTTCTGTCTTTCTGTTCTTTCTCATCTAATTTAAAGGCGACTTTTTTTCTTTTACTGTGCTGGGTTTGCAGTTTTAGAGCACATCAGTCAGAATAATCCCTTTAGATTGCCTTTGTTCTTTCTTTCTTTCTTTCTGGCTGTGTTCCTTGCCTTTTGCTTCTTCATGTCTGTCTCACTTATCTAATTCAAACCCAGGCTTCTATCATGCTTTTCTTTATATAAGTTTTATTGATCTGTGGGTATATGTGTGTGTGTGTGTGTCGGTTAGAGATAATCAGGTTTTGATCATGACCTTGTGATATCACTTTGTTGCCAAGATACTGATGCAATGTCGAGGGATTTTCATCACTAAGTGGTGGAGCATTTAAGTGACCTTTAACCCAGTCAAATTTCAAGACAACAAAATAATAATCAGTCGCATGGGATAAGGGAGTCATTTTAAAACTGAACAACAAAAGGTAGATTTCAAATAACACAGAAGAGAAATTGTTTGTACTTAAATACATGATTATTCCCATTACAATATTAATGAACACAACATTGTGTGGGAATGTGCTTCATGTCCAGCCCTACCAGTGGCTTTATTGTTTTTAAGTTTATTAAGTTTATGTTTAATGTGTACATTGCTGCTTATGATTTAAAAAAACAGCAGAATTGTGGATTTCCAAATAATTGCCTCCAGGAATAGTAAATATATCATTTTGTTTACGCATGTCATTCTATGGAAGATACAGCACAGACATGAAGCTGGAAATTAATAAAGCTGTCTGAATCTCCCTCTTCCCTCACTGCCTTGATTTTTTCTTTCTGTCCCACCCAAATTCTTCTCTCTCTCTCCATCTGTCTCTCTCACTGTCTCCCCCCCTCCCTGTCTCTTCTTGTCTCAATCCCCTCCCCCTCCTTTCTCTCTGGCTTTGTTCAAGATGGACCTGGACAAGAGGAAAAGGTCACTGTGTCTGGGGAGAAAGATGCCTTTAACCTTTAACCTCTCATTAACATAACTGGGGTTGCACAACACAGAATACACAACATATTTTAACCTCTCATTAACATAACTGGGGTCGCACAACACACAGAATACACAACATACGCAACTAAAAGTTGTATGTTTTATCTGCATTTGGATGTGATAATCTGTCTAAATGCCAGTATTCAAGATTATAACAATTTCTTATGTGCTGAGTTATGAAAGGACAGTGCCACTGTCCACAGGGCATGGGGCATCACTGAATGGTTTGATGAGTATGAAAGTGATGTGAATCACTATGACCTTCACGGTCACCATATCTCAACCCAGTTGAACACCTATGGGAGATTTTGGACCTGCGTGTAAGGCAGCGCTCTCCCCCACCATCATCAAAACAACAAATGAGGGAATATCATTTGGACAGTGGTGTTCATCCCTCCAGTAGAGTTCAGAGATTGTAGAATCAATGCCAAGGCGCACTGGCAGCACATGGTACACCTTGCTAAGAGCCCATTTAGGCTTGGTTTTAAAATGTGTCCTGGACAATCGGATCACAAGCAGACAGCACTAAATACAAGCATTAACGACCACCAAGACAAATTATGATCTGATCACTGAAACCACTTGCTGAGGTTGTTGGGGACACATTTGACATTAGTAGTGTAAACACTAATGTGTCCTGATGCATCTCCGACAAGGACGTTAGGGGAATATACGTTAACAGTGCAGGTCATGGTGTCTGTGTTGGTGTGTGCCAATGCTCAACAAAAGAAAAAATGGAGAGAAACATCCAATTCAAATCCATTAATGTAGTGTGAAAGATTTCACATCCATGAACAAATCTGTTGCTGGTCTTCTTGTTTTATTAATAGGGAGACTACTGACACTTGTCTGGTAACAGACCGACACAATAATTGTGCCTGTGGCCTTTTGATATTTAAGATGAAAGTGTCACAGCAGCAGCAAAACCTGAGGAAGTGGTCTTCTGGACACCCTGCTCTGCCTTGTGTACAGTATAAGACAGGCGTGAACTGTGCTGTGTCTTGGCTGTCCACTTGTGCTCAGATCACTGAGATGCATTTTAATATGAAGTCTAAATGGGGTGTAAGACACTTCATGTTGGTTTCTCCATTGATTTGTCACCTGTGGAATGTGTTTTACAGTGTTAAATTAAAAGCAGGGGCTCTGTTGGTCTGCATGTGACTTCCATCTAACAGCCCTGGAATCCTGCCCCAAGACTGGCTTGCTCAACATCACACACACACGCAGGCTCTAACACATGGCTGGATCTAACACAAATCTTTCCAGACAGGAAGTTGCCAAACACCTGTGTGCAAACTGTCACACATACTCTCACAGTAACTGCATACAACAGCATAAGGCATGACACACTGCACATGGAACATGGATATATGGCGTTTAAAAAACATACACAAATAGCGAGTATAGAAAACAAGAGTCTACACATATTTATTACATGTCCTCCACCATCTGGGGATTTCCCTCACTGAACAGTGAGGACCAGATGTTGACCCACACACACACACACACACACACAGAGAACCCCACAGATAGCGCTACATGTTCACTAACTGACACGTAGACACAGGAGGCACAGTGCCACTCAGATCAACTCACTCTCAAGTTGACGCTGCTCTTTTATCTCATACAGTGCATACTGTGCTTTAGCACCAGGCAATAGGGAAATACTGTACATATGTCTCCTTCAAGAACACACAGAACTGCCATTAATACTACATATGTTTTGGATCATCCTTTAACCTGCGATCATTCTGCATGCCAGCAAATGGGATCCAAATTACTGGAGAAGCTGTTGCATTCATGTTGGATGTATAGCGTGGCTTGTGAGAATATGAAAAGCTCACATATTATCATGTCCCATTCTGTGCTCAATCATTTGAGTCAAAAAACACCATTTCTTCTTTTAGCAGTTTATACTGACTAAATCAAGAGACCATGTGATATTTTACACGCGCAGTAGTTTATTCGTGATGAAGAACACAAGAGGGTCGTATTAATGATAACCGAGGGATGTGGGGAGTTGGAGGCTCAATTTGTTTTATCTTCAAATTGGTGAAAACTGAATTCCACTAGATCACTGGCTTGTTATCTAAGCAGAAATATTTACCAAAATTCAAGGAAAACTAAAAATGGAAAATACGTAAATAATGCATTATTGTGTTCCTCAGGATAATCAACCCTTAATTAAATCTTAAAGAGAGGTAATTTGCTTTTTTTTTTTTTTTTGCATTTTCCAAATGGCCTTTTCGATTTAGCATAGCTATTGTGGACACTCCTGTACATTCTGCATATGATCCCATTGCTGCATTTTGTTTCGTTTTTATGGACGTGTGCCAAATGTGAACTATCTGTTAAATTCTAGTATTTTTTAAGCTTGTCCAACCATTCAGGGTTGCACACATCGCACGTCTGTTATCAAACAGCAGATGGTGGTAGTGATGTAAACCATTTGAACGAGATGTTTGTAATTAAACGAGCCAGTGAGCAGTATTTATGTATTTATAGGAAAAGTGAAAGAAAATGAGAAAACTATGTGAGAGCAGCTTTTTATTTTCAGTCTCTGGGTCAGGACATGAGCTGAGTAGCTTTCCTGGTTCTTTCTATCCTGCCTGGCTGACTCATAACAAGAGCAGACCTGATTCAGTGAGAATGGTTTTATTCCTCTGTAGAATTAAACAATATAATGTATCACATATTGACATCCCATAACTGTCCACCCATCGTCTGTTTTGTGCATTTCTCATTTCGCACAGTTTGTGTTTCTCTGTTTGACTCCTCAGCTTCATGTGTGTTGATCATTTGTTCTTTAGTCTGTGATTTTAACTTGTGTGTGCCACATGCTATTAATCCTGGATTGCTGTGACTGTCTTAAGTGTCATGTTTTATGAGGAACTAATACATTCAACATGTTAGACATAAATTTGTTGTTTTGTTTGTTACAAAAAACAAAATGTCCTTCCAGCCCGTTTTTGTGAAAGCAATATGTCAGGAACACCTTGAGGGAATTTCTTCAAATATGGCACAAATGTCCACTTGGACTCAAGGAAGAACTCATTAGATTTTGGCGGTCAAAGGTCAAAGTCACAGTCATCTCATGTCCGTCCCACTTTTGTGAATGCGATATCTCAGGAACGCCTTAAGGAAATTTGCCCAAATTTTATAGAAACGTCCACTCGGACTCAGCCATGAACTGAGTAAATTTTGATGGTCAAAGGTCAAGGTCATTGACCTCGTGTCTCTGCCTTTCTTATGAATTTGACTGGTCAGCGGAGGCATACAACCGCAAAGTGTTAACATGTTGAGCAATCTCTATAAACTGGTAAAAATGAAATTGATCATGTTATTGTTTTTGTTGTTTTGAAAGAAAAGGAATGTTGTTTCAAGGAAGACAATATGATAAAATAATGTTTATATTTCTACTCTCTGTCCCTCCAGGTGGCGTTACTCCAGGAAACAGTAAGAAGGGAGTGTGAGGAGAGGGAGGAGCTGACTGCAGCTCTGTGTAAAGCTCAAGACGAGCTCATCGGGCCGCGATCCATGGCGTCTCATCAAGGCTCCTCCCAGTCTCCTCCATGCTCTACGGAGAGACACACACTGCCGGGGGACAAGCATTCCTACTGCCGCAGTCCAGCCCGGGTAGCTCTGTCTCGCTCTTCAGTCTCCCCAAACACACTTCGAACCTTCTCTGCCTGTACAGACAAAGATGGAGACCGGGGCGCAGATGGAGGCGGAGCAGAGGGAAGTTTAGATTCCTGGACATGCAGCGGGATGTCAGGTGGAGTAAAAAAGCAAGAGGGGATGCTGCCCAGACTGAACATGAGCAGCTCAGTGAACGACGTCAAACGTAAGGTCATTTTAATGATGGGGAGGAAATCACCTAAATAAAGCCTAATTACACACATAGGTTTATGTTGTTTTGAAAAAGTACTTGAATATTAATCAAAGGATTTTATTAGTATTTTATTTTATGGTATTTTCTTGGTTCCCTCTAATATAAAACTCACACTTGATACACAAGACACAATTGCTGAGTCTTGTTTGTACACCATTACACTCCCACTACAGACACTTGCCAGCAACTTGCACTTGTTTTCTCACAGCCACACTCAAGTAGTCTCACTGGCACACACAGGATTCACAGACAAACACCCATGCATGCACGTAATACACACGCACACACACTCTCAGCCTGTCACAAGGGCAGGGCTGAGGGAGCATGACAGTGTGTCCCTTGCCAACCATGGGCACAAACAAAAGGCAGGCAAACACAGAAGGCACTGTAGGGCACGCGCCCCCCGACACACACACACACACACACACACACACACACAACAGTTATCCAGCCGTCTAGCCTCCGGCAGTGTGTGTTATTGACATCATTCACTCTGTGCAAGGTCTTTCCACCCCCACGCTCCCTCTCCCTCTCTTCCTCTATACTTGGGATGATTTGGCATGATGGGAGAAATGCATGAAATAAGTGTGTGTGTATATGTGTGTGTGTGTGTGTGTGTGTGTGTGTGTGTGTGTGTGTGTGTGTGTGCGTGTGTGGCGTGGAACTAATTTCCCTGATTACTGGCACACATGGAAAGCTTTTAGTTTGAGTTTCCTGTGTCCTTGCACAACACACGTGCATGGCATTCACACAGAAAAGGTGGGATGATAATGATTTTATCCTGCCAACGTTTCCTCTGTTTGCCAAAACACACACATGTTGTTTATCTGTTAAAAACCTTGGTCCATGCAGAGAGGATGTTCTGCAAACAGCAATGAACATTCTGTGCCTTTAAATCCTAATTTTCTACCTCCTCTTTTTATGTCAGATGGGTAAATGAGGAAATGTTTACCTGCAGGTTTTTGATTCATTTGCTAACTTTGGTTGCTTAAGGTTTTTAAATGAGATGTTCTAATAATTCTTAGTTATCACTGCAAAAGCCCATAAGCTGTGGTTATTTTATTGAATTTTGAGCGAGTTTATTCTTAACTTCCCCTTTAATACATAAAAACAACAACACATATTTCCTTGATGTGATTTATGGCAGATGTAACACATTTATGCTTTGCAGCTGACTTCTTGTTGCCTTCCTGTGCTAGAGTGTGTGGTTGTATATAGCCTTGTGTGTGTTTACTTGTGTATGTGCGTTTGTCTCCGGGGAGTGATTGTTTCTGTCGAAACGCCACCATTGCTCATTTTTATAATCACATATGTCACCAAAGGATGTTGATTCTATGGTCATCATCATCACAGTGTAGTGTGGGTGTGTGTTCATGTGTGTGAGAGCAGAAGACACTACATGCTGTAAGTGTCACTCTACAGACAGCAGACTTTGTGTACCCGGGTTTTTCTATGAAACCCTGGATTTATTTAACAAAATAAGTAAAAAAAAAAAAAGTGACCTTGACCTGGAGACTACAGCTGACAAAACAATCAAGGCCCCCTCTCCTTGCTTGTTCCAGACCTTTTGACTGTTTCACATGGTCTTCATCAGAAGATGGAGTTTGCTCAGTTGTCATGGAACTGTAGACTTTTTAATCTGAACACTTTTCATGCATGTTGTCTTAAAAACTGAGCTTGACAACTCATCCTCAGTTTAGACAACAGCACCGTGAGTGATGTTTTGATGCTAACCTTTAGTACTTGATGCTGTTAGACATGCTACAGACACCCAGTGGTCATTTTGACTTGTCAAAGCAGGAAAACCACAGGCCTAACAGCAAAACAAGCCAATCAGAACGTGTTTACAATACTGGACAAATGCAAGCTAACTGTGGGTTTCAGCTTGGGTTTAGCTTTGTGTAGGAGATGTCAAGGGGAAAACTGTATATGTCACTGTGAGTTATATTAAAAAAAGAAGTTGGATGTTCATCACTGTCATCTAGAAAATATAATCATAGCCGGGTCTTCATGTATACGGTCTTATTATCTGAGTTGTCGAGTTATATATTACTGTGTGTACATGTGCGATTGTTGTTTGAGAGAACGAGCTGTCTGGTTATGATCTTGTGTATGTATTTATGTATGTATGTAATTTCTTCTCTGGTCTTGCCTAAAAGAGATCTTGATTCTTAATGATATTTCTTGTTTAAATAAAGTTTAACAAACTAACTTACACTTAACTAGAGCAGCCTCGGGTGGCTACTGTCATGTGCAAGGCACATCCAGTGTCTCTCTGTGTTACTGTTCACACGCTTTTTAAAGATGGAACAAAATGAGGAAGTTCAAAACATTGTCTGTTTGATATTAAAACGGAATTTCTATATGTGTTGTGTATGTGTGTGTTTTTCTAAAATATTACTGTATATTATATGATTTCTAGTGAGTGTGGGTGTGTGTGTGTGTGGTTGTCCGTCTCTAAATGTCAGCCCTGTGATAGACTGGTGACCTGTCCGGGGTGGACCCCGCCTCTCACCCAATGTCAGCTGGGATTGGCTCCAGCCCCCCCCCCAATCCTCTTCAAGATAAGTAATGGATGGATGGATGGTTTCTTACATTTTATAATTTAGCGGTTGTGCTGATTTGGAGGGTATAAAAGCTTTAAAATGGCATTAAAAGAGAAAACAAAAAAAGGATGACATACAGTAGATCTGTCTCTGCTCCGTGGGGTGATGGCTGTATTTCACTGAAGTGAGCTGGTTCCAGGGCTCTGGTATTGTGCTTTGACAAGTGAAAATGTCTGCTATGAAAAGGGTCTGTTTCACACATGTGCTGCCCTTTTGACAACTGCTCACAGTTTTCTCGCAGATGCACCTCTGCCCTCTGACCTTTGGCCTTTCCTTTTAACTCTGTTATACTTCCTACACAGTCACTCACATGCATGTCTGCTGTGTATTTGAAGAGATAACCCTCTCTCTCCAGTCTGCCACTCAGAGGCAATAACACAATGCTTCTCTGCTGTCCCGCTACATGCACTCTCCCTTGCTTTGACACACTCACTCTGCTCTGACTGCACACACTTTGTCTGCCTTATAACACAAACAGCCTTCTCTCTATCTCTAGCACACACAAATCTGTCTCTGCGTCAATATTCCTTTAATCTCTTTGGCTTCTTTTAGTATTCAACCCCCTCTGACCCTGTTGCTAAAACATAGTTCCCTCTCATCCTCTCCTCCTCAGCTATCTGTGACTTCACTTTATCCCTGATCCATTCATCTCTCTCTTACTCCCTTCTGCTCTTCTACTGGCATGTTTTCCTGTGCTCATGCCCTTGATTTGTAGCCCTTGACTGGTGTCCTTCCTGGTTTGTGCATGTGAGCCTTGGGGCACGTGTGTGAGAGAGATCTAGCCTGAATGGATACAAATCCTTGAAAATCTTTCTACATTTTGCTAGCTATGTATGTAAGAGGCACACAGAATGAAGTTTTGATCATTCATAAACATTCAGATTAAATCGCTCTAACAAACACCCACACACACACAAACATTAATGTGTACACACGCGCATGCCATGCACACACATTGGGAGCATGAGCTCCTCACAGTAATTATCATAGCAGGGCAGGCATGCACATGTGTCTGTTGGGAATCTGTGCAAGTTGCTCACAAACACACACACATGCTCCAGGGCGTATCGTGTGTGTACAACTGAGGCCTTGTTCATCCGAGGGTGTCCCTGAACGCCCCTCTCCTGCGTCGTTATGGTTGTTCCGGAATTCTGCCATTGTGAGCCCTCCCACTATAATTACTGTCACCCAGGCAACTGGAGAAAGAATGCTCCATATTCTTGTTGTGGTAATTGCGTAAGTGTCAGGGGTCAGAGGTGCTCGTCATAGGTGTTGATTGATGACGGACAATGTGACCTCAGCCTACCACCTCGTGAAGTGTTGTTAAAACTGAGGTAGCTAAATTTGTGTCTCTCACATGCCACATGGATCCTCAAACATGTTGGGGAAGTAGAACCTCATGCTATGTTTGCATGTTTACAGCTAATGCTCACAATAGCTTCAGCCATACACAGAGAGACACATGCAAATACATATAACCCTAGGAAATCACCAGCTGTGACAGGATTAAACTGTAAATCGGACCCAGGGTAATACTTTGCTCTTGGGCTCCTGCTGACCTGCCCCCATTTCCTCCCTCTGTGTAGCTGTGTAGGCTCTATGTCCTTGTGTACACTGAGGGGAAGATGTGGTAACTTTGCTATATTTGTCTACAGACCTGGAAAAAATAGAGCTCCTGTTGCTGGAAAACTACCTGGCCTGAGGTTGGCTGTATAATTTAGTTTGTGGTAATTTGATTAAAAACAATTTTATTTAGGAATACACACCATGTGTGCATAATGTAAACCAGTTGGGTGAGTCATAAGATAAATCTGAGGGGTCACAATCTGACTAGTAGCATAGAGAATGTTTTGTTACATAAATTTGAATTCATTTAAATTTTTTGTACTGGAATCTTTTTTGGGGGGGGGGGGCTTACATAGCATCATTAGACACAAACAATGTGAAATATATAGAGGGCAGAATCACTCTCTGGTGGACTTGCAAGCTGTGACAAGGTTTTTGTGACAATTTAGATCTTAAAATGTGATCTTGACCTGGTAAAGGACCTCAAGGCTGGGTCATAATTTTGCAAGATCCACCACAAATATTTATCTTTAGTGGTTTAAATGCGCTAATAAATTTGCTGTTCATCAAATTACCAAATACCACAACTTGCAGTGAAACCCTTGTTGTAGGGCTCCAAGAAGGACAACAAACCAGCGTGAATGTGCATTCACCGAAACACACAGGCAGACTACAGCACTGCAGGCCCATAATTCACTTGTTGGCACTAAAGTGTTGCAGTCACCTTTACTGCAGCATCAAGTCATTGTGGAGATTTGGTACAAGACCAGTACGACTCCTCACATAACAAACTCTCTTTAAATGTAGTAAGCCCACGGCTTCTCTTGAAGGCACCCAATTTTTCAAAAACCTCAATTGGAAGGTCTCTAGTTCTCTCTGCTGTCCATTTTAAGTTAATGCAAGGCTTTAGGAAATAAAATCCTGTGAGTTAAACAGTGACTGAACACATTATTCCCTGTAGCTATTATCTGTTCTTATGGAACTGCAACTTATTTGACACAATCAGGGCCTTTGTCTAAAAATTAAGATCATAATTGTTCTTAACCCTTGCTTTTCCTACATGGGTTGCTGTATATTTAAACTGTTAAATAGGACATTACAAAGTAGATATCACTTCACTTCCAGCACATTCTGTGAAAATTAGAAATACAAACGTGGCTTGCTCAATAAAGACAGCTAAATTGCTGCCATGATTTTTTTTTTTTTTTGTCATTTTTTTAAACTGGCGGAGGGATATGTTCCTGGGGCTGAGGTGAGAAGTCCGGACTTTCCTGTAAAATACGTCACAGAAACTGTGAGTCGCCTCCTTTCTGCTGCCTTTGGGTGATTGCGGAAATCGTCAGAAAGTCTACAATAAAAAGAAATGCAATGAAATGATTGGGTTGCCATCATGTGACATAACGTAGGAGCAAAATAGGCGAGAATATTGCAAAACAAATGGGATATTGCTATAATGATAAAATTGAGCTTCCTTATAATAACAGCTACTACTGGATGACTACATGGATTGATAGACGCATATGGTCATACATGCCCAGTACATATTTTCTGACGTTTTCTCTATGTCTGTAGGATGAGAAGCCATGTGAACTTTTTTAATTTTTTTATTTTGATAATAAGATTGTCTTGAACGACAACCCTTTTACGTTTAATTTGTTATTCTTAGTAAGATCGAAAGCAAAGCTTTCATGGAGTCCTTGAAGGACTCATGAGGTAATTCACAGTTTTATATAAAGGAAAAAACGGAACATGATTTTTCAGGTACATCTACTTCTGTATTAACTACGTACTTGGATTATAAATAATAAACTTTGTTTAGGTGTCCGAACTACTGTTACACAGACAATAACGCTTAAAAAGGGACTTTTTAAAGGAAAAATGAATGACCAGTTGATATACACTGGAAGAATAATACATGCTGCATTACAGTCCAGTCTGGACATTGGTTACAAAATTCATATAGTTTTTTTTTTTCAATAATATTGCAAGACTATTTTATCACCGCGGATGTGCACAAAGTTTCGGTCGCAGCAGGATGGTGACGTCACGTAGTTTGTCTGTTTCCTTGGGCCGGCGGCTTTCGGTTGAGATTGGTAACTGTTGATTTTAAGGTGAAGATGGCCGCAGGTCCCCTCTCTATATCTTCCGCTGCATCCCCAAATAACGATGGCATTCTTATTGGTGACAAAGTTTACTCAGAAGTGTACCTTACTATCGACAACTCGCTTATACCGGAGGAAAAGCTCTCTCCGACGCCTTCGATGCTTGATGGCCTCGACCTGAACACGGAGACCGACCTTCGTATCCTAGGATGTGAACTAATTCAGTCGGCGGGCATTCTTCTTCGGTTACCACAGGTAAACTTTATTGAATTGATAAGGTATTTAGCAGTATATGTGCTGGTATGTGTATTAATTCACAGCGAGCTGAATGTCTTCTTTTTTGTAGCCGTCAACACGTCTCGGCCTACCCATTAGCAATTTGCTAATGTTAGCTCTGACGTTGGCGTGGTGGAACTAAAATGGCGGTGGTTCATTGTGCAAGGTTATGTAAAGTTCGTATAAGACGGATTAAAAACGTCATGTTTTGTATTTTTCCTCGACAGGTTGCAATGGCAACGGGACAGGTTCTTTTTCATCGTTTTTTCTACTCCAAATCGTTCGTCAAGCATAGTTTTGAGGTAAGTCCACTGAAGTTTATGGGTCATTGTCAGGCCGCCGGTCCTCTTAGCAGTGTTAGCATAGCATAACGTTGTGGTTACGTTACTGACAGCCATATTGTCGATACGTCGTACCAGAGTTTCTTAAGAGCTACAGAGGAACTGAAGATCAGTATGAAACAAAGGAAAAAGTCAAACTCCTACTTTTCAAAGGGTCTTTATTTTTTAAATTTTAATAAGGCAGTTGGTTTGTCAGTGTGGCCAGACATATTTGACAAACATCAGTAATATTGCATTTCTAAGTTATCTATAATAATCTAATGTTATAACTGTCACTACATAGTCTTAATCTGTCCATGTTGGATCAACTCACTTCTTTAGGCCAAAATGTGTGGGGTATTGGGGTATTTGACACGATGTGTATATTTCTAAATGCGTTGTACTAATAATAACGATGCACACAATGATGTGTAAATTAACAAAAACTGTTCCATGTGAAGATTTACAGTTTGTCCCACAATGGCCTGTTTACTTAGGGATATTACAATAACAGATACTATGGTATACAAAGGCAGAATATAGGAAAATATTTTGCTAAATTTGTTGTTAAATTGGTGTTCTCCCTGTTTGTTTTGTCTCCCACCTGCACCCAAAGGTATTCATCTCTTCCTTCCAACTTTTTGTTTTATCATAACAGATTGTTGCTATGGCTTGTATCAACTTGGCATCCAAGATTGAAGAGGCACCGCGTCGAATACGAGATGTCATCAATGTTTTCCACTATCTGAGACAGCTCAGAGGCAAAAGGTAAGCATCAGCAATGAATCCAGTCTCTGAACATTTGCATTGCATCTGTTTGTATGTTTGTTTTTGTTTTTAATTATTACCCAATGTTTGATGATGATCTGCTTTTACTGTGAAAGTGCTCTTATGTTTATTCATGTACTCTAAACCATTTTAAAACTTTTCAGTTTCCGCTTCACTGGTAGTTTGAAAAGTGTAATTGTCTACATATGGCATCAGAGTTTGACATTACACTGAAATTGATGTCTCAACGAACTCAATTTAAAATTGGAGTGCATTTTAAGTATTGTAAGACAAGGCACGTTTGCTTTATTTGTGCGTGCCTTTGTCTTCAGAGAAATCTGTTCATGTGAGTACTACAGACCTTGGCATTAACTTGGCCTCTTTTTTCCCTTGCAACCAACTAACAGCGACCAGCTACATTTACCAAAGCCTGGGTGATGTGGAATGGTACGTAAGATGAAGCAGTCGGCATGACAACCATGATGCCAGGGGGTCTCTCTCCTCCCCCAGGCCCACCCCACCCCCTCCTGTGGGAGACACCCGTGGTCTGAGCCACTGCGGGGCACTGGGATCGGGGATGACAGGTTGGCCGAAGGTCCTTGGCCCCCGGGGCACCTTGAGGACTCCTGTGGTTCAGTCTTAAGCTTTGGGTATCTGTCCGTCAAGCTGCGTACCATTGGGTAATGTAGTTTTCTTCTCTGACTGCTCTCCACCATGCATTTTGTTTGTGCTTCAAGAGCAAAACTCTATTCACCAATTGTTACCCATGGCTTTTATAGAAATATCACCTCATCCGTTGAAGTTAGAATAATTGAATACTTGTAGTACAAGTAGGCTATGTATTTCTGGATCATTGCATGCACTATAGCTTCAGTAGTTTGGCATTGTATACACTAAATTAAAGTGTACAGTAATTGTGATGTGCTTGTAGCAAGTCTGTTTTCTTTAGATGCGGACTGTAAAGGGTCATATTTAGCAGTGAACATAATTGATTGGGGAGGTTTTCATCTGTAGCATGATGGTGTTCACATTTAATTTTCAGTTTTTTGAGACAGCTTTTTATTTCATTGTTAGTTCTGAAAAGGTGAAACACTGTCAATCAGGTGTTTGGGGGGGGTCAATTTTTCTATTTTTCTGGTGTACCTAATAAATAGTACATAATATAGTAATCTGATGCAGCCTGTGAAGAGATTTGCATCTAATTTTAGGAAGATAGGCTTTTTTGATTGCTATAACCAATTTTTAGAGCTGTTTTGTTAGCTCAAATAGCATTTAAGTTATGTGGCCTAGTACAGTATTGTTTACAGTGAAGGTGTAATGTAGACATTTGACAGATTATTAGTGTTTTCTTCCTTTGAGGCTGGACATTCTGCTGTACTGTTATAAAAGACAAATATTGAGTGGTCACTGTGTAGTTGTGTACAATACGTTAGAATAGGTGAGTGGTTTGAGATGGCTCATTATAGTAGTTTCACGTTTGAAGATTGCAGAGTGTATTTGCGCGTTGAGGTGGTGATATGATATTTCTGTTCAAGCTGTGTCACGGTGGTTGAGGGTTGTCTGCGGATCTCATAAGCTTTCACTGGAACCACAGGAGTCCACAAGCCCCAGCAAACTGTCAGGCATGCAAACAGTAAAAAACCTGTTGCTTTGAGTTGGTTGGAAGGGAAAAAGCTAAGAGTGCAAGGTAATCACAAGGGCACTTTTCTTTTTTCTTTTTTATTTTTTATTTCGAGAAGGGAGAAACATTCCATTTTGATTCCTTTATAAACTAGGACTCCAAGTCCACTGATACTTGATCAGAACTACATAAATACCAAAAACCAAGTCATCAAAGCGGAACGGCGGGTCCTGAAGGAGCTGGGCTTCTGTGTGCATGTCAAGCATCCACACAAGGTGAGTTTAAGCCACAATCAAGCATTTCACTGATGTGTAGTGTAAAGTAGCTCTGATTTGAACCTTGCCAGACTCATAACTGTTTGTCTTTTTAATACGCAGCTATTTTGTGCTTCCAGATTATCGTCTTGTACCTTCAAGTCCTGGAATGTGAGAAGAACCAGACACTGGTCCAGACGGCCTGGTAGGTTCCTTCCTATTGCTCCACTGACCATCCCACAACAGCAGAAACGAGTGTCATGTCTGCAAGAAGTTCCACCAGACCTGGGCTAAAGATAATGTTGAGAGTTTTATATGATTAAATTACTTGAAGAGCACTTGATTTATTTGCTAGGAACTTGGGACAGACCCATATGTGGTAACAACAAATCAAATGTTATTTGTATAGCGCCAAATCACAAGAAAAGTCATCTCAGGACACTTTACAAAGTAAGGTCTAGACCTTACTGTTATCAATATTATTACATAGGGAAAACCCAACAAATCCCCCTTGAGCAAGCACTTGGCGACAGTGGGGAGGAAAAACTCCCTTTAACGGAAGAAACCTCCGACAGACCCCGGCTCTTGGTGGGCGGCCTTCTGCCTCGACCGGTTGGGGTGAGTGGATAGAGGAGAGACAAAAGAAGAAAAGCAACAAGACACAACAATCAAACACTGATCAGGTCGATGTGGCCGGTGACTGCTCGTCAGAGATATAGAGCTCCAGGGCAACCTGCAGAAAGTTACAGGGAGAGAGAGAGAGGACACACTACGGGAGAGAGGAGAAACAAAGTTAGTAATGTGTAATGGGGGCATATAGAAGCATAGGGAGAGAGAGGAGAGCAGGAGGGGAGGGGAAAGAAACTCAGAGCATCATGGGGCCCCCAGCAGCCTAGGCCTATAGCAGCATAACTAAGGGAAGGCTCAGCCCTAACTATAAGCTTTATCAAAAAGGAACGTCTTAAGTCTAATCTTAAAGGTAGAGAGGGTGTCCGCCTCCCGAACTGAGACTGGGAGTTGGTTCCATAGGAGAGGAGCTTGATAGCTAAAGGCTCTGCCTCCCATTCTGCTTCTGTGGACTCTAGGAACCACAAGTAAACCTGCACTCTGAGAGCGAAGTGCTCTGTTAGGATGATAAGGCTGATAAGTGATGTTCAAGTGCCCTTCATGATTTTAACCACAAATTTGAAAACTGTTCAACAACCATTTTGCCCAGGTCTGACTGTGACATTCCCTCACTCCATTTTAACCCTTCCACCTTTTTTCTTTCCCCCGACGGAGCAATTTGTTTTATTGCAAACCTGTTGCGTGTCTGACTCGTCTGCCCTTACATGGCTGTTCTGTAAAGTCTATTTGATTTGTGGTGCCCAGGGAACTTGGTTTAACTTTGTCCTTTCTCTCTACTCTTTGATTAAAGGGTAGTCCATGCTGGTAAGTCACATAAAGAACCTCTGAACTCTGCCTCCTCCAACCACATGACCTCAGGAAGTTCCCCTCAT